AGAGCTGTTATTATCACACTTTAGGATGAGGGTCCTTTATGGAGATGTGAGCAGACATGAATATTCTAAACAGACACCGTCTATATCGTCCTGGTGGCTCAGCAGGTTTTATCGCCCACTCCTGTCGTCTGCACTGAAATCTGCTTCTTGACCTTTGTGGTGCGTCTTTCCTTTTCTTTCTCCCACATCCACTGTCACATCCACTGTGTAATAAAGAGGAAATGCTATAAATGTCATCATCTTAAAATAAAATTATAAAAGGTCATCTCCATAAACAGTTTGAGCCTCCTGGGGCGACTTGGATTTAATCACTTCATGGAGAACGGTGAAGAAAAACAACACAGTATCAAAGTAGTTACGCTGATTTCGTACTTTGTGGCTGCAGCTTCTTGTTGTATCCGATCTCACTGAATTATTTTTACATTCTGATGTTTTTTGTTCTACATTGTTATAAGGTACACCCAGCCTGCCTCTGTCCCATCTGTACCCTGCTACCTGATCTGACCTGCCTGCTGATTTCTAATATATGGTCTGACTGCCTGCACGTTTCAAGCTGTAAGCCTTTTTATCTGCTCTTTGAACTTAGTAAATGCCTTTTACTCAACATTTGGCTCTTAGTTTTGTGAATTACAGTTCTCATTTATGTTGCCAGGCTCCTAAACTTCACCACAAATGTCTCCATGATAAGGAGCCAGTTTAATATGGAGTATTGTAGCCATAGAGTGTGTCATATGTCTGGTTCTCATTTGGTTGGTTTTACTTGTTTTATAAGTGTCCTGCACTCATTACCTTGTAGTTATCTGTCTTGAGACACTAAACAACAACAAAAGATGATCATGGGATAGATCTAGAGAAATATTTATGGGGTGGCCAGAGGGTGGTGTAAATATATTCAGATTTAATTACAAATAATCACATATATTAATATTTTCTTTACTTAAAATAATTGAATGTTTTTAATACGTAGTTAAATTTGACAGCATTTGACACCAAACTGGGGTGGCCAGACATTTTTAGGGCTGCTGCTACCTGTCTAGATCCGCCCCTGCACCTGGCAGAAGGTACATTTCCAAAAATTCACATAACAGAAATATCCTGTTATGAAGTATACAGGGTACCATGCACTGTCTGTACATCTTGCCAAAACAAAAATGTACTAATTAAAAAGCCACCTCAGCATCTGACCTTCAGGAAACCAAAATAAATCAGGATTCTTTTAATTATTTATTTTTTTTAAATAGTTGATTCCAGGTCAGACTTGGTCAGCATCACACAGATTATTTATATATTTGGAGAGACAATAAAGAGACAAAGAATATTCAAATCATTCAGAGTTGACAGATTTAAGCAGAAAATGTCTGTGCATTCATAATTTTTAGTAGCCATACTGTGTCGTCTGACCTTTAATGGTTGTATATAGTATAGTATATACTAACCCAAGACGATGTGCTCACAAGGTTTTGGAGAGGTGCTGTCCTACATGGCGGGAAAAGAGTGAACGACATTCTTTCAAGGCCAAAAAAATTAATTTTGGCCTTCTGACATTAATCATATACCTTCACAGATATTATGTACGTTTTTGTCCAATGAACATATTTTAACAGAATAAAAAGGATACACATCACATTTATTGATTTGGGAAATGTGTTGTGTCTCAATCATTACTGCAGGTACTTTACACTTCAGCCCCAGTAACCAGTGTCATTATTCAGTGTGGCTGATCTGTGTGGACATGTTTGGATTTTGGTGACCTTTATTGCATCAGTTGATATCAATAGATTGCTCTAACAATGCTGACAGCGAAGGCATCACTGCTTCAATAATGGGCACACAAATCCAAAAAAAAGTATAACAGTGCTTTAGAGTTCTTGGAGTATAAATTGGTGTTTTTAAAACAGGACAAATTCAAGTGGGTCACTTTCTGGGAAAAGTACAGTAGCACAGTGTGACAGAATATAAATTATAACGTATAGTCGGAGGGCTTTAGCTCAACCGTAAAAGAGAGAGTAAGAAATGGAGGAAAAGTCATAAAAAAGTTGTGGAGATTTAAAACCAGGAACCCACATGTTTGTACAATCTGAGAAGCAGAAAGACAAATATCAGACGGGAGAGAGACTAACCAGCTGTCTAACCACAGGCGCTGCCATAGCAACCGGGTTCCCTTGTATTTGATAAAGCATGGTTGTGGTGGATCATGGGAGTTATCAGTGCAGCTGGAATGCACCCTTGACCAATGACAATGCATTTCTCAAGCCAGATCTTATATAAACTGCAGGTATGTACACCATTACACCATAACACGCATGTCTGCACAAAAGAACCACGTTTATCTTATCTTTGTGTTTTTATTCTTTTTTTTTCTGTGTGCTGTTAAGGTTTCATTCAGTCACAGACGTTCTTGCCCCTGACAGTGTTAACCTTTGACCCCGAGGCAGTGCCTTGCTCAACGTGTCGTCCTGCCAAATGTCACAACCATATTGAGAGTATATGAAGAGGGCTCAGGCTCAGTGCAGGAGAGGGTTGGATGTCATATTTATAGACTGACCTTTACCTCACCCTGTGCAGCCTGACTTAAAGAACTGTATGTTCATGGGCCTGGAGCATTGTGAGTGCTCAACATTGCACAGGTTTAGATCCCACGCAGGACTGAATATATATTTTTCTTCCTGTCAACAAACCCATGAAACAGGTTGATGCTTCTCACCAGTATTATGTGTGATATATCTTATTCCTCTGTGCCGTAGAGCTCCATTGTCCATTGTTAGAAGACACAGTAAGGCTCACTGGCTGACATGCTCCATCATTACCATGAACACTGTAGTTTATTATGACTCAGTCCCACACACACCGTCCTGCTGCCATAAATACTCACTAAAACACCAAATGTGTATTAATCCCCCGCTGAAAATAGTCCCCAACAAATTTCCCCTTTTGAAGGGAAACACTTTATTTGAATAGTCCACATACAGTTTATAGAGTAGTTGGCTGTAAAGTTAGGCATTGTAATAAGGGGCCTTATGGAGATCGACTCACCTTTGCAGCCAGCCTCAAGTGGCCGTTAGAGGAACTGCAGTCTTTGTTAATTCCCTGTTGGCTTCATTTTCCAGCCATGGATGTTACTGCTTGGTTTGAACAGCGTGTCGACAGAATATAATTGATGTGAGTTATGATCTGTGGAGATCTGGCCTGCAGACTGATTATCCAAGAATAGACTTGGACAGTCTCTCTGTGAGGGAGACACAGGAGAATTTATTTCATAGACAGCAAGTCAACACAAACATTACAACATTGTCTTTATCTGGCTGTGGGAACTGATGTCGAATTGGATTCTTATTAGTTTAGATTATTTTCCTGGTACCTATTTGTAGTTGGTGATTTACGAGACAAAAGGTTTAACAAGAGTAAATTTGGTTGTCTTATACATTTGGACGTCATATAGTTACTTAAAACCTTTGTTTTAACAGCATTTTACTGACTATATTAAAGCCTTAAAGGCAATACAGTAATGATTTTAGCCCAGTTTTGACCTTAAGTTCACCAAATCATTGCTTACTGGGTTACCTCACTTGTTTGTCATGATTAAGAAATACATTTTGTATTCTGCTGTGTTCACTGTTGTTCTTTCGTGCAGCATGTACAGCGGCTGTATCACTTCAGGACTTTCTGCTGCTGCCACACGAGCCCACGTTGGAAAATGAATGCGCTGATTGTGATTCAGTCCTGCTTATGGCAAATACGTGCAGTACCAGGGGAGCCATGTTGGCTCTAACTGCGCCTTGATTACAACACAGAGACTTAGCTTCATTAAATACACCCAGCAGGCCTCCAGGTATCACAGAACAACAAGAAACAAGTTCTCTGCAAGCCCCAAAAGGGAAACAGATGCAGTGGAAGTATTTAAAGGTAGCATCGTTTAAACATTAGTATCGATCAACTCCTGTCAGAAACAGATGTAAAATATTGCACAAATGATTTCATTGCTATGGGACTATAAATAATGTACTCCTAGTTTTCTTTCTGCAGCTGTGCTGTGAATGATTACTGATTGATCAGACGGAGCTACGTGTCCAACAGTGAGGTAAGGCCATAATGACTGAGGCAGCTTGAAGCCTGAGTGAGCCTCCCCTGACATTTCCTCTCCAGCTCCTCTGTGTGCGTGCTGTGGTTCATGTAGCATCACATGACCAGCAGTTTAATATATAGTGAACATGACACTGGACAGGAGGGGAGTAAAGGGGGAGAGCTGGCTGGCTGGAGAGGTCTGGTTTTGGACTGAGGACCAGTTGAAAGATCAATACTTTGCTTTAAGTCTTTCTCTTTGGAGCAATTCATGTGCAAAGCTCTGTTTGTGTCATCAGTAGGTTTTATTTCTGAATCAATGTCACTAAAACAAATGCAGTGTTTGTTGCTACAGTGTATTGTGAAATATAAGAATATAATGACAATAAAAGAATTTAATAAGTAGGCTTGATTAGTTGCCTGTCAGTCAGGGGAGAGCCAGTTATTTAGTTAAGTTATATTATAAATTTTGCTTGTTTTATTGATGTGATTAGTTGATACTGTTAATGTGATGACAGGAAACAGTTAATGGTTGTGTGACAGGAGCACTTCATTTCACTTAAACAGCAATATCTATCTAAAGTTTGCTCTTATTAACTTTTTTGGTTAAATTTAGCAGGTATGTTTTATTACATATTTTGAATTCTGAAAATCACATAGTTTGTGGGTAGGCTACTTAGGCGTTGTCGCTTAGCAACCATATAATTTATCCCCTGCCCAGGAACTACTTTTCTTGGCGGAGGGTTGTTATTTTATAGGCAATCAGCCATTAAACATGTCATTGTGTTGGATTAAAGGAAACTAGTCCCTCGGAGTGGGGGGGTTTACCTCAGTGCAGGGGTATCTGTGTCTCCAACCTCTTGTAAACCTGCTGGCTCGTGAGTTTACGTAAACTTTGAGGGCAGCTTCACGCGACCTTGACGTGATGGCTTGGGGGCGTGGCCGGCGGCGCGCGGCGGGGATAAATTGGCGGTGACACCTCAGCTCGTCCCCCGCTCTCACTTCTCCCCCAGAGGACAGCAGACCGAGGTGCCTTCACACACGGTGCGTCTGAGTTTCACTGGAGCTGTCAGAATATGGAAGGTTTAGGTTTTAAGTGACAGGCTGAACACAAACTGACAAAAAAACTCACTTTTTATATTATATATAATATATATATACTGACTGAAGGGTTGTCATGTGATTATAATTTAAGATTTTAGTCAGTTTTGTGTAATTATTTATCTTGTGGGTTTCTTGTTGCAGCTTCATACCTTTGCATGATGCTCTGTGTTGTTTATGGATAAAATATGTATTAAATGTGTTAAATATTTTCCCTTCCAGTGTGGACTAGACCATATCAGATAAAATGGTGAAGATTGGAATCAACGGGTGAGTTGATGCATTTTATTTGAATTAAAGTCACATTTAGTCACAAAATTCTCATCTTTACAACTTCCTGGCATGGATTGATCTCTGGGATCCATATAGTGCACGAGAAGTTAGTTATTTTGTGTTATCACCTCATTTTGAATGGCTCTGGAAAACTTTAAAGGGTAACAGGGTAACAATTATTATTAAAAAATATGAATGAAACAGGTGCAAACCTCAGGAAGTACAACAAAAAGTACTTACAATAGAAGCAAAGAGACCCCCCATTTTCTATATCTGATGAAGATCTACTAGAGAGGAAACCTACTCAGTCAGCTGCATCCAAAATCCTCAAGTTCATCCTCTCCTTCCGTGTCTGAAGAAGTGTGACACATTGGCATTTCGGGCTTCCTGCGGCTCATTGAGTGTGCATTAGAGGTGTCTGATAAGTGTGGGAAGTCTCCAGCAGATACACAACCTCTCTGGTTTACTGAGCTTTTCTGTGTTCTGTTGTTGGGCGGCTCTTCCAGCTCAGAACGATGTGATCAGTAGGGCTCAAGTAGAAAAAGCTTTCATTTCCTAAATCGCTAATATTATAAGCATCCAGTTGTCGGGAGTGCAAAGGTCTTCTAAGCACAGGACCCCAGACATTGTTCCTGTGACCTCAAATGATTATCGGAGAGTGGATTTTAATGATTTCACTCCAAGACGAGAGCGTAATAGAGTCAGTTGAGGGAGAGGAAATTGGAAATGAGGATGTGATTCAGTGAGGAGATGATATAACTTTTCTCTGAAGTATGGAAGTCAGAAATTGTATGCTTTGAGGATGTGAATGAGAACCAAGAGAGCAGAAAAAACTGATATATAGCCACAGCTGTGGTTTTTTAAATGTATTTATTTGTTAAAAAAAGTTGAAACGAGGAGTGGATTCAGTTAATCGACATATGTGACAACTTGTGACAGGCCAATTTTTTTTATTTTGTCACATTTTGTGGACTAAATAATAATAATTATATTATAGAGGAAAAGTGAGGAAGTGAGGAAAAGTGCATATATAATTTTCTCACTTCTATAATCTACACACACTAAAAATATAAAAAATATGTATTTATACACAATGAGTGGGACTGTAGCTCAGTGGGGGATGAAATGTCTCTTTGAATTAAAGGATCTGCTAAATTAATCTAAGGTAACATAAAATAAATATTTAAAGCAGCAACAAAGAACTTTCAGTTTTTGTAGATTATGGCAGTAGTGTTTCTACCGCCTCGTTTCAGTGATTTCAAAGGGGAATTCGACCGAATCCAACCTGGGATTAAGAATAATTATATAGAAATATCAAATACTCACATTGATGGTCATATATAATTGTACAGAATTAAATTGAGTCTAGTTAAAAACTCCTTGTTGTAGATTTAAATGCAAATTAACAATATTGTCCACAATATTCTCAAAAAATGAAAGGAATTTACAGATGCAACAACATAAAGTTTGAAATTCAACACAGTACACATATAGAGTTATACAGTTACACCGTTTATTTATACAACTCCTTTACTGACAGACACATTACATGTCATATTAATATCCTGCTGAAGTGAGCATCAGCAGCTGAGCATCTGTTTATTTGAGACTTTCTTTGTCCAAATGCTGTTCAAGTGCCAGGAGTGGACTCTGGATAGGACCTGTCTATTCTCTGGTTATTTATAGTCCGGTTGGTGTGGTGTAACGGTTGGCATCCCCTCTTCATCCACACGCTTCAATCCCCTCTCCGTCTGTACCGCTGCTCTGCTCAGCTGTCACATTCCTTTTATTCTCTCCTCGTCTATTTTTAACCCTCTAACCTTTCCGCTGAAGTTTAGAGATCAGCCGGCCGACGGTTCGTGGACGATGCTCAGACTTGGAGATCGCCGGTGCAACATTTTCTCCTCCTCTGTGAAGCAGCTGCCGTCGAGCTGCAGGGAGATTTAGCTCCTCGATTCTGGCCTCGTACCAACACCAACACCAACCACAGAAGCACAAGACGGGCTCTGGTCCATTTTGGCCGTCTGGCTGCTTGGTGGCTACCCAAAACTAACTGAGGAAAGCTGCACCACTGGCTCCTTCCCTCAGGTCCATTCCTTAGACAATGAGATTTTATAATTGACAGTCTCAGCTTTATGGACGTCTGGCACTGCACTATGGCTGTCCACTGCTGCTAAATAGTTAGACTGTTTCAAATACAGAGGGAAAGTGTCCCCACAGGGATTAATTAAAGTAAAAAGCCCTGCAGCTGCAAATAACCTTAGTTTACGCCTTTTAACAGTAAATTGACAGGTTTTCTTTTTAACTCTCCTGAATCCTGAAAATGCCACTAAAAAGAAACTAGAGATCAGCAGGAGTGTGCAGACAGTTCTCTCTAAACTCAACACCTCCTGATTGTCACTTCAGTGTTAATATGAATAGATGTTTTTTTTTTACTCTGCAACCACCCATTTACCCTGTAATCAAGTCTCTCCTCCTTACTGGCTGCGTATTGTTTGATATTCGTAATGATACCTTAGTTTCAGTTCATCAAAATTACACCTTTTTAGGTTTTTTCATTAAGGTCCAGTGTGTAACATTTAGGAGGATCTATTCTCTAAAATGAAATATGTATACATTACATATATTATATATCACCCAAATATTGGAATTGTTGCGTTTGTTTTACCTTAGAATGAAAAGTTTTTATCTACATATGCTGTGTGTCGCCATCTATGGAGTCCGCCATGTCTCTACAGTATCCCAGAAACAACAAACGAAACACTGGGTCTCCTACACACTTCACAGCCTGTTCTCTTTTCCAGGCATTAAAGACATAGTGAGATGCGAGCAGTGTTCAGTTAGTTGNNNATGCCACTAAATCCTACACTGGTCCTTTCACTGCAGACTGATTATCCATTATTTTCACAGAAAAATTGTCTGATTTCAATCTGTAACTATCAAGTACATTTTAGTACAATTTAATTTTCAATCCCAATTTTGTCTTCCAACAATTATAAATCAATAATAATGTTTGATTGATAATGTTTGAATGGTGATTATGATTTTTGCCATAATCAAGCAGCCCCAATTCAAGCAAACATTAAATGGCAACTTGTTGAGTTATCCCAGCAGTGTTAATGTTGATGAGTGTATGAGATTAATCAGTGATAAAAACATCACCTTGTTACCGACACTACTGTTCAGACTTCCTGGTGCACTTTCAATCCTGACCTTTCTGGTGATAGTCTCTTATTTTGGTACGCAGAAATTGTATCTTAAACTGTCCCATGAGAACATATGTATGTAATGTGACCTCTGAGTGCTGGAGACATGTGATGTTACATAACAGGACTCATGTCAGTGCTGAATATCTGAATCATAAATAGTATAGTTACAGTAACATGATGGCAGTGTGAAAGTCTTTATCCTCAGACTCAGCCGACTGGAGCCAGGCCTGTATTACTGTGGATTTTTAGAGTTATTATTACTCTAAATCATTTTATTTATGTCACTTTACAAATGCATACAGTTTATCTTATGTAACTCAAATTTTAGTCAAATGATTTCGATTTAATTGTGTTGTACAGTATAGTGAATTAAATGAACAAAACAGTGGGGATAAGCGGGTACACTGTTATGTATCTGGGGGCCTAAACCAGATGTGGACAATGCTAACCTGACGTTAATTTAAGCCTGAAATTGGTAAGAGTTAATCAATAGTTTCTATATTTATTATAAAACTGTATACTACAGCTTAAGAATAGAGCTTCAGAGCAATGTTGCTATATTTACGAGTACGGATATTGACACATTTTACTCCGGGTACTCTCACTCAACCTTGCAAAACACCTTAGACTGCAGCCTCAACATGTACCATAGAAAATAAAGCACTTTGTAATAATCTAAGTAAGTTTAAACCCTCTCACTACTTCAACCTACTGAGTAAGATCCCACACTTTCTCCTTCATCCTGGCGTCTAAATGGTACTATATGACGTTTCCTTGTGATGACACAATGACTTTTGGTAGACAGTTATCATGGGAGTTGCAGTCAGCAGATATTTGCACATCCAGTGTTAGTTAAGTTAGTTCAACCTAACCTGATTTCAGTACGTGTTTCCACTGAAGAAACTTTATGTGTGAGCAGCCTCATCTGTGCTCTGATAAAGGCTCGTATCAGACGGCCATTACTTCTGCAGTTCGGAAGAACAAACGGACACATTTCACCAGCTGAACTTTACTTATCATGTGGCAGCTCTGCTCTGGATTTTGGCTGAATTCATTTATTGAAATATCTCGCAAAGTGAAGAAGCAAATCAGTTTTTTGGATGATCTCGTTATCAAAGAGGTGGTTTGAATTATAGCTTTTCATTGACAGTCAGATGGAGGATGTATGAACAACACTAGGGCTTAAGCTAATTCTTCCCTTTTAATTGCCATTAAAACACATGCCTTCAGCCAACTAATGAAGCTTTTTCAGGCTCTCAGATGTTCTCTTAAGACACCAAACAGTGCTGTTTATCCCAAACTAGCTTAGATCTGTCAGGAGTAAACCTGAGTGGACAGTTCTCTCGCAGTACATTTCTCTTTTCATGTGCTCGATGTGACCTTTTTATAGGCCAGTCTGTGTCTGGTAGGTCACATCTGCTTCCTCCTCCTCTCACCTCCTGCAATCTAAAGTTAAAGTGAAGGATGGAGGAGATTTCTCTCTCCTGCTGTCTTTCCTCTCAAATGATCACTCATTAACAGAGCCCTCCTGTTGTCACATTTTACCTGCTGGATGAAATTATTAGTGAAGTGGTTAATATGTAAAATAGAAATCTGTTCTGCTCCTGACTGCACGTCCCTGTCCTCCATTTGCTCCCCTCTCCAGTTTGAGGCCCCTCGCTGTTTGACCTGCTGTGACGGCAGCCATATTAGGCGTAAACAGGCATTTTGCTGCCTGTGCCAACTATTGTTATCTTCAGTCAAGGTTGGCAGGCCTTGTATGGCCCTGCTGTCCTCCGCTGTGCCTCCCATCTTTAGTTTGGGTGTCAGTGCCACCTGCTGGTCAAAACGTGGTGTGAGGTGGATGGAGCAGGTTTTATTTTTCCACATAAAGCTGCTCTAAAATAAAAGATAAAAGAGGTTTTTGAATTATTCAGTTTGGGCAAGTCTAGGGCTTGGAGCCAGAGGGACATAAGCTCTCCTTCCTGCCACTTCGAGTATATTTTTATGAGACTTTTTTTTCTGCAATCTGAGACAGCATACAAATGTTCACATCTTCAAAGTATCTAAAATAGTATCTAATCTAATATTAGTCTGTCTTAATCCCTAAAGAAACTCATCTAAAGTCCTTTTTATCCATATTCCATACCCGGTTGTCAATTTGCTTCAATTTCTAAATAAATTCAAATAAATGTGGGTTTTTACATCCTGACCCTGCTGTGATTCTCTTCCTGCGTTTCAGATTCGGACGTATCGGCCGTCTGGTGACCCGTGCCGCCGCTCAAGGAGGCAAGGTCGAGGTGGTGGCCATCAACGACCCCTTCATCGATCTGGACTACATGGTGAGAGGACTGCCTGTACTCCAGTGGTCCAAACGGTTCATGATCATTTTGTAGATGTGGTTCTCAAAGCCTTTCCAAAGTTAATTTGGGGTAAAATGTGTTGAGTATCCGTATAAAATATAGGCAAACGATCCTGTAAGGTAAGTTAAGTGGAGGCAGAGAGCTAATATAAAGGTTTGGAAATGTTGATGTTACATAGAGCAGCCATACTATGATTACAGACCCTGTTCTTTTCCTGTAAGAAGCAGGTGTTGTGTTTTTAGATGTCCTCCTCATCCCATCTTGCCCTCCTGCAGGTCTACATGTTCAAGTATGACTCCACTCACGGCGTGTGGAAGCACGGAGAGGTGAAGGCCGAGGGGGGCAAGCTGATCATCGGCAACATGCAGATCATGGTCTTCCACGAGTACGTAGTCCTCACACGTATAATACAACTTAGCAACTTTCCAGTGAGTGTGTTTCCAGCACAGTCCTGATGCTGTCTGACCTCTCTTATATGTGACTGCATGCAGGAGAGACCCCGCCAACATCAAATGGAGCGATGCTGGCGTGGATTACGTTGTGGAGTCCACTGGTGTGTTCACCACCATCGAGAAAGCCTCTGTAAGTATTGCACAGTACATGTAGAGTAAATCACTTTATTATAGAGCATGTTGTGTTTAAAATGCACGAATACTATCACATCTGTCATTTCCTGACCTTTGACCTCTTGTGTGTCCCTGTAGGCTCACCTGAAGGGCGGAGCTAAGAGGGTGGTGATCTCTGCTCCGAGTGCTGACGCTCCCATGTTCGTCATGGGCGTCAACCACGATAAGTACGAGAACTCCATGAAGGTTGTCAGGTGAGTTTCTGCTGAATTCTCTCATTTTAAACTTTTAAAATGCTCTGTAGTTTTATTTCAGTTACAAAGTAAGTCTGTTCACCTGCTCATCCTGTCAGTGTGACACAGGATTTCAAGTGTTTTCAAATCTGGCAAGGACAGATGTGAACATCTGGTTGCTTTTAAGCGCTCTGCCAAAAAAGATTGAATGTCAAACCAAGATCATCTCTTAAAATGAACTGTCTGCAGTTTTAGCTTTACTACTTGCATAATTGCACAAAATGGTAACTTTGTATAGTTTGTAACATATACTCTTGTCTCCATAGCAACGCTTCCTGCACAACTAACTGCCTGGCTCCCATCGCCAAGATCGTCAATGATAACTTTGGCATCGTTGAGGGTCTCATGGTAAAGAACTAATTTCACTGTTTAAAAATCACACACAGCATCCTGTTCCAGGCTGTTATTAAATAGCGTTTAAGGACCGAAGGAAACAAGCCTGAAACCTTTTAGTCAACTGGTCACATTAGTATTCAATTCAAGGTCATTTTAACATTTTATAGGCAGCGTTAACAAATGCTAATTACAAACTACCAGGGCCAAAAGTGATGCCCTCTGATAAGGTTATTTAGTCTGACCAGCAGTAAAAAAGCTAAGTTCTCAACGTGAGACACAAAAGCAAACAATGTTTTGGGTTTCTAAAGCTGAAACCATCAAATGTTAGATATAATAAGAGTCGTCAGTGTGGTTTGTTGACTCATATTCTTCAGATAAATTATATTTCCCAGTGTTTAAGGAGAATCAGACCAGCTACCTTCAACAGCCAACATTCCCCAGCACAAGTGTCATCTTAAAAATCATATTCAGCACATAAATCATGGATCTGTCTTCTAATGCGACCCTCTGCTCGTACTCCTCCAGAGCACAGTCCACGCCATCACCGCCACACAGAAGACCGTTGATGGTCCCTCTGGTAAGTTGTGGAGGGATGGACGTGGTGCCTCCCAGAATATCATCCCCGCCTCCACCGGAGCTGCCAAGGCCGTGGGCAAGGTCGTCCCCGAGCTGAACGGGTACGACTGACTTCTACCTGGTTTTATTTAGGTTTGGGCAGTTTGACCTGAGTCGTTGTCGGACGCTGGTTTACCAAGCCTGCTGAACTGTCCTTGATGAAGACGCTCAGTCTCTTCCAATGGCCTATCCTAATATGGATGATGAAAAAGCATCTATCCTGACATAAGTTTGAAGGAAAACATTTCATTCATGTATTTGTGTGAGCTCCAAGATGATCTACGTAATTATAAAAGTGGCCAAATGTGTTATCTCAACACACTATAAATACGTGTACAAGTAGGCAGTGGAGTACTTATTATTGCAAGCATTAGGACAGACCATAGACCTCTGAGGAGAGATCATTTCCCTGTGGGGATCAATCTCGGGGCTGCTAAGTGGAATAAAACCAAACTAAAATCATCTGTAAGTAATGAGTTTTGTCTCTCTTGTTCTTACAGCAAACTGACCGGTATGGCTTTCCGTGTCCCCACCCCCAACGTCTCTGTCATTGATCTGACTGTCCGTCTGGAGAAGCCCGTAAGTATCTCTGTCTCTAAAGTGATGACGTTTGACAGATTTGTCATTCGCATTCGTTTGAAAGATAATTCTGTTCACACTTTATAATAAACACCTAAAATCAAGCTGCCATTTTGAAACCTAACCTTCAGTTTCTCATCTATAATGTAAATTTCTCCCTGCTAGTTAAATTAAAACATCTCGTCCTTCAGGCCAAGTACGACGACATCAAGAAGGTTATCAAGGCCGCTGCTGAGGGACCCATGAGGGGAATTCTGGGATACACAGAGGACCAGGTACTGTACATAAAACATTGTCTACATATTCCTACAGGACACTCATGTATAATTTCAGACTTGTATGAATAGAACAACCAGAGTCAGGTGTAGTTTGACGTTATGTGCATGTAGAGCCATACATAAACCACTAGATGGCAGCACATCTACAATAAGGTGTCAGATCAAGGTGTCCTTGCAACTTGAATTAGAACACTTTACATTCATTGGCCTGGTTACTGACCCAAGTTGTATGTAGGATCAGAAATGACATACAGTAGCGGTCTTACTGACCATATGGACACAGCTCTTTATCCACTATACTGTATAAAGCGTTATGTTTGCCTCTCTCTGCTCAGGTTGTGTCCACAGACTTCAACAGTGACCCTCACTCCTCCATCTTTGATGCCGGCGCCGGCATCGCTCTCAACGACCACTTTGTCAAGCTGGTTTCATGGTGAGTTAACTCTTTCAAATTTTATTTAAACAAGCATGACAGAAAATGACCTTCATATGACTAAAATGGAGGGATGAGAAATTGACAATGGAACTGAACTTGTGTCAAGAAAGACCTTTAACACAGGAATCCATCTCTTAAATGTTATTATTGTCATCAACCTGTAAGACAGCATGTTCAATTCAATTCAATTCTCTTTATTTGTAATAGCCCCGCCAATTCAAACAGAGTATATTCTCAGTTACACTTTTCAAATAGAGCCATGGTCTAGAACCGAACTCCTTATAACATTTTACAGGAGACCCAACAGTACACATGAGGCAAGCACTTCTGGGACGGGGGGCAGGGGGAAAAACTGCCTTTTAACGGGCAGCACCTCGGACAGACCTTCGCTCTAGGTGGGTGGTCATCTGCCCTTGACCAGTTTGGAGGAGGAAGAGAGAGGAGACGAGAGAGAGACAGGGAGAGGAGACGGGAGACAAACAGATGTACAGCAACAACAGAAGCAACAACTACGATTAACAGTAATGACAGATGACGTCATGAAAGACGGTGCACCTGACGGCGGACAGCCAGCACACGACAGGGGACAGCCCGAGCGCGACAAACAGCAACGCAGCAACAACCATAGGTCAACAACAATAATAATTAATACGATAATATCAGTGTATTAAGCAATGGCCAGGTTCTAGCAGCGACCATGGCAGGGGAGGGCCTCCACCAGGCATCCATGAGAAACCTGATCAGCGCACGATGCTTGCCAAAAGTTTAGTTTTTTAGCTAAAACCTCTAATATGTCAACTTTTTTTTAAAGCGCGTATACTATTTTTTGTATTATATAATTGCGTCTATTAACTTATTGCTATAGCTTCTTTAGTTAAATTCCTGGTGCTGACAGTGCCTCCACCATTGTTTTCATAAAAACTCACTTTCCTGTGCACTTAAGACTTTATCACTAAAGGAATTATTTCCTAAACTTGCCACATTCACCATGTAACACTTACAAAAGGCCTACCATGACCACTCGACAGGCAGCCATCCGTCTCATGAGGGCAGGTTTTTCCATTCATAAATACCTCATATTTCACTCCTGGTCTCATAACCTCAATCATGTTCTGTTTGTCTGCAGGTACGACAACGGTTCGGCCACAGCAACCGTGTGATGGCGACCTGGTACACCACCATGTTCACCAAGGAGTAAATCCTGTCTTGAGCTCAGATCGTTCCTTCCATGGATTCCATCTTCTCTCACCCTGTGACTGGTTGCCGTGCATCCATCCCCCCCCGGGAACAAACTCTTCTACAACAACCTCTAGGCTGGATAACAGAACAATTAATGATTATAATAATAATGGATACACTGAATAATGTTAATAATACCTTTTTTTATGATAAAGTCACCTGTGTTCTGGTCCAGCAGTGAGGACTGCAGTAAGCAGTGTTTGTGAGAGGATTTTCCATCAATGAAAATGATTTGCACTGAATGATTCTTGTTGCAGAACATGATACTAAAGTCCTTTCAGTTTTGGGTGGAAAGCAATTGCAAGAGTGGTGTGTGCATGAATGGATGCATCGCATCCTGCTCACAGGTGCGAGAAATGGAGTCGGGGGTAACTTCCTGGCGGGCTGCAAAATTAGTGTTCCATGCCTCTTTTCTCTAGAAAGTTTTATTATATGGATGGGAGTGAGTCACAATGGGGGCGACTAGACATGTCTAGAAGGACAGGACTGTTATTACCTACCTTTGTTGGTCTCGAAATCATACTGGTATGGTTGGGCAGGGCTTCACACTTTCGAAACGGTATTGCTCTCGTACGCCCGAACTCATTTGTTTCAGTGACTCACTGCAGAACAAACAGTATTTAGGTTAAAGAGTGCAGCTGTTGAGTTATTTTTCAGCCATAATCCAAAGGGCTGTTCTAATTATCCCTTTGCTGCAGCAACATAGATACTAGAGTTTTGGCTTTTGGTTGGGTAGGAAAGAGACATGAGTGTGTCTAAGGATATAGAGGGCTATTGTGAGAATGAATAGCGAGCACAAGAAAACCCTGGGCTCTATTGATTTATGTAATTTGCGGTTAGCCATCTTTTATGTTTCTGAGTGACAATAGCTAGGCTTCATTGGTGAAGGTGGGGAGTAAAGGTGACCTCGCGATGGGCGCAAGGATGGTTTTTAGTAGATTGTAGCGAGAACAATCCTTTTCAACCTTTAAGTAGATAGAAGTGACCGTTTAAGTGCATCCAGGGGTATAAGGTAATGATATATGTATTTATTGAATTTGTCATTAAATTCCGGTTTAAGTTAGTGGGACTTGCTAAACTGTCTCCAGTTGTTGGATTTTCCATTCGTCATCAAGAAGCTATAGCATTATACGTTATCCAATAAGACCCATTATAACATGAACAGAGATGCTATTTTGTGGTGTGTGGTGGAAAAAGTGGTGAAAAACTAGATACTTTCATAGCGTGCTCATTTTACTATTAGAAACTTAATTGTGTAAAGATAATTGATAAGATTAAACACAGCTATGTAGAGCAGTTCTCTTCAATGGGTTTCTTGGCCCCTGAGTTGGGGGAGCCTCCTTTGCCAATGGTTCCTTGCTAAGACTGCCACTATGGCTAATATCACCTGAAATTATTATCGTTATATTTATTGGTTGTTGTTGCTATTGTGTTGCTGCGGGTTGCTGTTGCTCGCTGCTCGCCCTTGTCTCGC